TTAGAGTATAAAACATCTTGAAGTCTAGCAAAAGACTTACAGTGACATGACATTCTTTACAGACTCTTAGAATGGATGTATGATTAAACAATACTTCGTTAGAGTAAAATAGTAACATGCTTACGGCTAGGTAGCTATTCTGTGGTAGAGCTGGAACTCTAACCCACTGAGCTGTTTTTACCACTCAAGGTTGGATATATAGTTCAGAATTATTCAGCATCAGTCAAATGTGCATGTTGGAGTCCATACATATCTATCCTCCTCCAAACCTCAAATTTGTGTTTGCTGAGCTCTCTTCTTAAAAGCAACACGGTGTAGGGCTCCATAGCCCAGAAAGTCTCAGTTCTAATCTCAGATCAGTGTGATCTGGGGAGGCTTTTATTTATATGTAGAAATAACACAACCAACATTTGTTTGGGTTTTCACTGTTTACAGATATTTTAGACTCACATGAATGGGCTTGAAATGGTGAAATTCAGAAGTCAGGAATGGCCTTAATCATTGTTTTCTTTTGCTGTAACAGAATACCCGAGACTGAATAATTTATGAAGAAAAAAAGATTATGTTATAATTCTCCTGCTTGAGCCTCCTCATTTTGCTCTCCCGCAGGACTAGCTGGTATGGAAGTTATTCCCTGGTCTTCAGGGGCACTGTAGTTTACAATCCTCTAGAATGCTCCCATGCTGCTTGGTGAAGGCAGAGAGGAATGAAGGGAGAGAAGAAACAAGAGGGCACATGATTGCTGGCCAGGCACTTGGTAGAAGGCACACTGGTCCAACATAGGAGAAGATTCCACAGGTACGAGAAGCAACAGACTCTGGAAGCACATGTCTAGGTTCATATTTCTTTTCTTTTCTTTTTTCTTTTTTTTTTTGTTGGTTGTGGAGCTTGAACTCTGAACTCAAGGTGAGCACTCTACCGCTTGAACCATAGTGCCACTTCTGGTTTTCTGAGTGCTTTATTGGAGATAAGAGTCTCATGGACTTTCCTGCCCGGGTTGGCTTTGAACTGTGATCCTCAGATCTCAGCCTCCTGAGTAGCTAGGATTACAGGCTTGAGCTGGCAGTTCCAAACTTCTTCAAATATAACATTCTTGTCCAGGTTTCCCTTTCTCAAAGACCAGTTCCTACAGTTCAGGAAAATTAATTAAGGGGTGGAGTGTCTATTTCTTTTCCTGAGCTCATGAGCTGGAGTAGATTAAGCTGGAAATCAGATCTTCAGGTGCCATAGTGAGGATATTTGTTAATGCAGATCAGTGACTTCTAAGTCAGGGCGTGTTTTATGAAAGAGATGGCTTTGGTGTGAACTTTGAAAAGAGGAAACCACTGATCTTGGAAGTGAGGATATAGGAAGATGTAAAAGTGTCCATCCCCATAATCACTGCTTTGGGGAGGGAATGTAGAAATTTTGGGAAGATATCAGCCAACAGTACTGCTTTGGGAATAATTTGATGCCCCCCTTTGAAACAGGAAGCTTCTTAAAAGATATTCAAATAATGGCACAGTGTTCTATGGTTGACAAACTTATGGAAATGGGAATGACATCTCCTCTAGCAATTTGACTATTAGAGCACAAAAATGCTTAATTAAATAGAATTACTGAATTGAATTCATTTCTGTTGATATGCAGATGGATTCTCCGTTGCATTTATTAAAGTACTAGTGGGACGGCAGGATGTAATTAAAAGCTAACATTAAACTCTTTAAAGGAATCAGCTCAATCACAAGAAAATTTAACCTATGAGCTGAATGTGTCTATATTACAGTCTTCAATGATATGGGGGTCATTTGTACAGATTATGGGATTTTCTAAAACAAGGCAGTAGAATATAATTTCTAAAATGTCCAATCTGAATGACTGAGTATATTTGTCATTTTGTTTGTTCATCAGACATTTTTGACTCCCTGTTGCATATTCCTGGCACCATGTTACTTATTGAGAAGACTCTGCTGTTCCCATGGGATAGGAGAAGGCAGAGAGTAAACAGAGACATATAATACAGAATGGTCACTTTGCTACAGTAGAGCTATGTTTAGAGGCTGTGATTGTACCAAGAAGTGAGATTGATTGGAAAAAAAATCTTTTTCAAGGATCAATATATTTGTTAAACAGATGAAAGCCTGCTTGTGTGTAATGTAGAGATCTAATATCAAAGACAACGTGGTAAAGTCAGTGTGACATCAATGATTTTTAACAGCACTATCCTCAACAATCAAATTCAGCTCTATAGACATGCTGCTTTGAACTGTGAATATAGCAGAAGCATGAGGAAATGAGGTAGAGTAGGGAGAGATGGCAGGCATTATATGTGGAGAGCTGAGTTTGCTTCACTCTCAAGATAATGACTCACTGAAGATCTAGGGATGGAAATAAATAGCATTATATTTTCTTTCTTTGTTTTAAACAAAAAAGGAATTTACTGGTTTCTTTTGTTCCTAAAGAGATGGGGTAATAGTAAGTAATCCTCTCAGGGGTGAGAACCAAGGATTTGACATTGCCAGGACTTGCCATTGCTAATCTTTGCTGCCTTTCTCCTTCCCTTTGAATGTCAGTGTTAGTCTCTCTTTCTGCACATAGAATTTTCTACTTGAGAGGAGGCATGTGAAAAAGTTGAAATTTCCCAGCATCTGTACCACAGTTCTGGCCTCTCTTGGCCTCATCACTCTAGTCAGTAATGGGAGTTACTGCAGAGGAACCAAGGAAAAGCTCACTTGGGAGGACAGAGAGGAGGGCAGCAAGACAGAGGCAGGGAGGGAAGGGATGAGTCCTAAATTGGTATAGGGACAAAGGGAGCTGTAAGGACAATTGAAATCACAGAACAGAAAGAGAGAGGTCATAGGTCTTGACTTTGTGTGTAGAGGAGAGGGAGGCACTGAGGAATCTGAGAACCATCGTGAGGCTTCAGTTTCCTGTTTGCTCAGCTGTGTAGATGATGTTCCTATTTACTGAGGTGGCGGAAAGCAGTTTATCATGGAAGATTCGAAGCTTCATTTTACTTTCTTAGTGGCCACTATTATTCAAATCTTTTAAAAGGCTATTTGTTACATTTGATTTAAAAATGTATAACCAAAATAAAATTTCATTATAATACCTTACTGATATATGTCTTCATTGGCAGACTAATAGATGCATTAACTTTCCAATAATTGGCTGGGAAAGGAAGTTAGGAGAAATGAAAAGGAGAAATAAGAATGATTGGAATGATTTTCTGATGAACTAGAACTTAACTGGTAGATGTCTGTCAAGTTATCATTTGGTTTGTTTTAAAGAATTTTTTTTGTCTGTGAATGTATTAAATGTAACTGAAATGCTGTTACTCATATTTGCAAAGAAATGCAGTTTGGCACTATCATTATTTGAACCTGCCCCTCCAGGAGTTTGAGCCAGGAGGACTCTTTGGAGCTGACCTAACATTTGCCACACATATTGAACCTTTGTTTATCATCTTCAGTTTGTATCGGATACCCTGTACGATATTCTCCTTGGGCAATTCTGTTTTATCCTTTAAGATTGAGTTCAAATGTCATCATTTTACTGTGAAGATTTTCCCTGGACAAAATTAATCAGTCTTCCTGTCCTGTTTTTCCAAGTCGTAGCCCAGTGACACCACAGAATTTGATCCGACTAGTGTTTAATTTCTGTAAAATATCAGGCAAAGTCTTTTATCTCTCTGACTTTCCATTTGCTTACTAGAAGATGGTGTTCAGAGCAGTGTCTTAATGATTTTCTTGTGGATACATGTGGAATACTTAGCACAGTGTCTGGGAGATAGAAGATGTTCAATGAATGAGCAAATGAATGAAATAATGAACATGCTTAGTGCATCCTGGCATCCCACTCACCTGCCACTGTGGCTGTTACTGGCACAAGTATAGGATCCAGCTGTACCAGCCTGAACCATCAGACCCAATCAAGACCAGAGTCCTTCTCTGGAATCCTCTATGAAAGGTTTCCTGGCAGATACTGTGAGTGAAGCTATGAGATACTCCCTCTCTCTACTTAAGATGATTAGACTGTCTATTGCCCCCTCCTCCCACTTCTGCATGTGCAGTGAACAAAATGGGGTCAATACAGAGTTGAAAATGGAGGCCTGTTCTGCCCTGGACTTCCTCCCTAGTTGACCTAAACATGTTGTTTTATTTAATTTAATTTTGTTTATTTGAATTTAATAATTTTATTTAAACTTATTCATTTTGTTTTGGACTCAAGACTCATTATATAGGGTAAATGGATAGATTCTTTTTGAACCTCACCACCACCACTGTAGGAGATAGATATATATTCCCCTCTTCTTTTCAGATGTAAAGCTCAGGCTCTCAGAGGCTCACTGGCCTGTACCACTCTGCTAAGTGACAAAGCTGCATTTCAAATTCATGTCTGTCAGATTCTAAAGCTCTTGCTTCCCTTACTGCATTATTGACATTGGCTGTGGTACCTTCCCTTAGATTTGATTTTCCTATGTGTTGGTCTGTGTAGAAGGGCATGTTCTATCAGCCTACCCTTACAGAATGAAAGGTACAAGCATTTTATATACGGAGACTTCGTTTTGTCTAATTCAAATTATTTGTAAGTTTTCTTATAAAATTCTTCTTTATTCCCTTGCTAAGTAACTCAGCTACTGAAGAGCCTCCCCCTCCCACCTTGGCTGCTTCTGAGCTTGCCTGTAATAGGTTCATTAATCTCCCAGATGGGTAGGGCAATGCAGACAGCAATTCTCAAGAGATAGTAAAGAATGTGAGCATAGCATCCTAACTCAGATAGATAACAGAAGCTTCCAATTTTTTTTTTTTTTTTTGGGGTCCGGTCGTGGGGCCTGAACTCTGGGCCTGGGCACTGTCCCTCAGCTCTTCAGCTCAAGGCTAGAGCTCTACCATTTGAGCCACAGCACCACTTCCGGCTTTTTTCTTTTTGCTTATGTGGTGCTGAGGAATCGAACCCAGGGCCTCGAGTATGCAAGGCAAGCGCTCTACCACTGAGCCACCTTCCCAGCCCCGCTTCCAATATTTTTAGAGAAGCAAAATATTTCCAAAATTTGCTTCCATCAAAAAAGGTAGTTTAGTCTTTTATATACTTATGAGTTGTTATCACCTTCTTGCCATAGTATTTTCAAGTAAACAATAACTGGTAAGTGAATCGATGCTTTTCCATAGGAACCAACTCATGTATTCCAGTGTAGACAGGTAGACATAAAGGGTCTTAAGTGGTCCTTGAAGCTTATTAGCAGAATTTAAATCTTTTTTTTTTTTTTTTTTGTCAGTCATGGGCCTGAACTCTGGGCCTGGGAACTGTCCCTCAGCTCTTCAGCTCAAGGCTAGTGCTCTACCACTTGAGCCACAGCGCCGCTCCCGGCTTTTTCTGCTTATGTGGTGTTGAGGAATTGAACCCAGGGCCTCAGGCATTCGAGGCAAGCACTCTACCACTGAGCCACCTTCCCAGTCCCAAAATTTAAATCTTGATTCTCATTATTCAGACCGCAAATCCATGGTGGGGTTATGAGAATACAGAAAGTGCTTTGGGATGGAACTTTTAATTTCTTAATAGAAAAATGAAAAAATCACATATAGGAACTGTTTTGGATAAAAAGTAACAAATATTGTTTCCTCCAATGAAGCCACCTACTAGAACTGCTCACAAAATACTCCAGTAATTATTAATATAATAGATAAAATAGCTGGTAAGTCACTAAACTCTTAAAGTGTTTGAACACTTAATTGTTGACGTTTGTTGTTTATCAGCCTGCCAAAGTATATTGCAAAGGAAGGGGAATCTAAAAGAGAGCAAAACCAGTAGGGATAAGTACTCCATGTGTTTTCCTGAAACACAAGCATTGTTTATTCTTTACCATAGTTAACTTGAAGTACTCTAATGATGAAGCACTCAATTGTACTATGACCTCCTTGAGTGATGTGCAACTTGGTTCCTCTCTCATTTTTTCCTTTTAATTTGAAAATGTGAGTGTGTGATCTTCAGTGTGTTGTCATAAGCTAACTTTAAATGAATTTAAGAAATTTTCTGAAAAGTATTTCTAATCCATTGAAATAAATCACTTACAATTATATAAAAAAAGAGACAGTAAAGAAAGCACAAAGGGCCTGACTGGAATTCCAATTGCAGTGTCTTTCTCAGGACAAGATGCTTCAGGTCTAAGAGGAAAAGCAAGCTAGTAGCTATTTATTGATTCACTATAGGCAGAGTTAAAATATCATGATTTGGTTTGATAATTCATTAAATAGGAATGTTCATTGCCAGATTTGGGGCAAATTGTAGAGACAGAGAGGAAGAGATCCAAAGACTAGAGCATAATGTCTGCTTACCTGTGTTTGATATTGTTACTGATGGTGCAAATTATACCTGACAGTATTTATGGCATTGCCTTTACTATAGCTGTTATGTTACTTATCCATATTAAAGGTTACTCATTAAAATAGCATTTTGGAAGATTTGAGCTATTACTTTTAATCCTAACATAGTTTTTCATATTACTTATAACCAGTTAAAATGGTCTCCTCAGTATAATACATACATTATGGTGTTCAGAATGATTTAAAGTTACAATATTGGGTATAGCTTATTTATTTACTAATTTATTTGCTTGGTTGATCTTAGGCCTTGTGTTTGTTAGGCAGGTACTTTGTTTGGGAGTCAAACCCCCAGAATTAAATTCTCTTTATTTTGATAATTTAGGTTTTAATGTCCCTTCCTTTCCTTCTCTGAACTACCTCCCACTAAATTTTGATCTCATGTCCTTCAAGAAAATTTCAACTTCTTGATGTCAACATCTCTACTTTCTGAAGATTGACACACTTGCTGGACTTTTTGATCAGTGTTTTTTCTGACTAGATTGTATTAAACATTATGCATTGCCTAAAACAGGATTCTGAATATTTGGGTTCAATAGCTATTTTTCAATCAAGCAGTGGACCAGAGTCTCCTGTTTTATGTCAGTCAACAGAATCTCCTGTTTTATGTCAGCTGTTTAGACTGGCTGGAAAGTGGGCAATGTGCTATGGTAGCTTCCCATTGTCTCTTGCATGGTAAGCATCTCCTATCTTGAGCCATGCTCCTGATAGAAATGTAGGAAGCAGCTGCCACCCACTCGGTCTGTACTGCTAGTGCTCATTGCTTGGGATGTCCTGATCACATTTTTCTGTTTCCTCCATGATAATGGAAGAGACAAAGAGTTAAGAGTAATGTCTTACTCACTACCAAGCACATTTATTGTTACCTAGTTAAAATTAAAGTTGCCAACAATTGGTAGTTATTACAGTCCTTGAGAGTAAGCTTATCTGGTACGTACTATGCTAAGCACTTTATAGGTAATTTGTTATTCCTTACACTATTGTATCTTGCAGGCACTGTTACCTATTCATTTGGAAGATAAGAAGATGGACAGCAAAAGCACTGTGAAGAATCTGCTGAAAACATAAACACATGGGCCAAAAAGGTAAAGAAGAGATTGAAATTAAGCTGTAACAGCTCCAAAGACAAGTTGTCAACTGAAACTACCTCTTAATACTACCTCTTAAATTGTTTAAATTCAGTTCATCTTGATATTCACAAGGAAGCTATGTTTGAAGTCTTAAGAGAAAGAGACACAAGTCATTTTAGACAAACAAAGGGAGTCTACAGGCTAAGTAAGTAGACAGCATCATGCCTTTGATGATGGGAAGAAGGAAGAGGAGAGTGATGCAGCACGTTTCTCCTCAATGCAGTAATTTAAACAGGGTGCCTGTGAGTTGGTGAAGCAATGGGCCATGAGTGGTATTGGTGGTCGGTGACAGTGCCAAGTTGCCTAGTATCAGTTTCTCATAATGCATTGTAAAGGCAGATAACCTGGCTTGGCACAATGTCTAACATATGCCAATGCTCCACCAATTGTGATAGCCAGTCATTGCTACCATTTGACTGTATTTCAAGTACAGGGGTCAGGACCCTAGAGCTTATTTATTCTTATGGAGCCAAAGTTATAAAGTAGCAATAATCTCACCTAAAAAGCCTGGTTCCACCTCAGGGTTAACATCTCCCATACTCAACCTGGGACATGGAGCTGCCACCCTGCAAGAATATTTAGTCCCCAAAGAAGAACAAGCATTGCCTGGCATGGTGCGAATCCTTCTCACATGGCTCATGCCATTTCTGCGAGTAAGTCATGTCTGTTTCCATTTCTCTTACCCATTAACCCACACGAGGACCTCTGCGGCTAATTGAATTCGCCAGGAGGCTGCCTTGTGTGATTAGATGTCCTGCAGCCTGAATACAGAGGAAGAAGGGAGCCAGCAGAGAGGCAAACATCTTGGTGAGTGCAATTCAATTTGCTGCTAAATTTAATCTGTACATTTCTGGTTTCTATTCTCATTCACCACCTGCAGTGGTATGTTTAAAATACTCTCGACACATCAGCAAGGTGGGCAGTGTGCCAAGATCAAGGCTGCCCACTTTGCTCACTTTCTCTTCATCATACACACACACACACACACACACACACACACACACACACATATCCCTAGTGACTATCAGGTAGCATTTTTCCTTTTCTATCTACATCTGAGATTTCCATTGCACAAAAAGAGGGCTGTGGTATCTGTTCCAATTGCAGTCCCTGTAAAAGATGATAACAACCTAGAGCCTCACCCAACTCTGCTCTGTCCCAAAGAAATTTACTTCTGGGATCCTCAGGTTTCAAAGAGTCATTTCAGATTGCAAGAAACTTTGAATGTTATACAATGTATTCAAAACTTCACTTTGTAACTTGTTGAATTGAAGACTTGTGAGAGTATAATTAAGTACATATCAATTTTCATGTAAAATTTCCTTTTGGCGTATTTTTGGCAGCTATTTTCATTGATGTGACTTATACCATTATTTTAGTTCAATGGACAGTTCACAGATGCTAGGTCTTGTATCTAGAGTGGCTGACAGGGCCACTGGTCATGTGTGGGCTTCTGTGGAAGGCAAATAAGTCACCGTATTTCATGTCAGCCTACCAATTTGAAATTTCATAAATCAGAAGCAAAAGCTGTAGTGCAATGGCTCAGAGCAAGGCTATGATATCGGGGTGAAGTCTATGTTTCCAGAGCTTCAGTTTCTCCCATTTGTAAAGTTCGAGTGGTAACACTATGTACTAACTATTACTACTTAACTAGCTTCTGTGGTGGTTTTGTAACATATCAACTTGGTGAGATTAATAACTTTTGCTGGATTCTCTTCCCTGCATGCTATGAGTTAGAGCCAAGAAGCTGTGCATTGTTAGGGGGAGAACTTGATGGGGCAGATGAAGTGCCAGTCAATTTGTATCTCACATGCATGGCTGCTTACCTGCTGTCTCACTAACTGGTGAAGGTAAGGATCAGATCTAAGCAGCTCCCCTGTCCCCTGGCTCCACCTTGAGCTTCTCTGACTCTGAGGCTGTCTGTGTTTGTTTAGAGCCAGGAGGATCAGAATAAAGATCAGAATAAAAATATTGCTGAGTTTTGGCTCATCCAGCTTGGTGTTGGCCTTCCTGACTTTTTCCCCTTCTTGACCACACTCTAGAAGCAATGTGAGGATAACCAGCACCCACATTGTAGCTCATCAAATCCCTTTCCATACATTTACACTAGTCTGTTTCTCTTATCAAATCTCAACTGAATGTGGGACAAATGCAGCAGCGAAAACTACTAGACACTTGATGAAAGTGTGGGTGGGATGGGAGAGAAAAACTGGGAGAAAGTGAGGGAAGAGGTGACACTATTCAAAAAGAAGTGTACTCATTACTTGATTTATATACCTGTAACCCCTATAACTTTACAATAAAGCTCAACTAGAACAGCATCTATTGTTAAATTACATCAGTTAAATGAGACTCCTGACAAGCATACAGCCAGGGCCTGGTCTATATTAAGTGTTTGCTAAACATCTCTATTATAATCCCAAAAGGTAGATATCATATGACAACAGAAATCTAAGTCCAGCTCCTGACACAAAGCAGATGCTCATTCGACAGACTTGTTGAGTGTTTGTCATCACAAGAGAAACAAGACTATATGTGGCAATACATGGGAGTTGAGGAGGAGGTTATGAAATTAGTTTAGTAATGGAACATCTATATTTAAGAAAACCATTTTAAACAAATGTAATTTATTACTTCAAATCTCTGAAATGGTCACCTAGGGAAACGTCATACACTAAATTTAAAGAATGGCTGAGTATGACCCTTTGCACAGTTAGATATAATAAATACATTTAAATAAAAATAGCTGTTTCTATGGTACCTGAGAATAAAACTATTCTCTTAAGTGCTTTGTACATTCTGCCAGACTTCTCTCAGTCTGTCTATGCTCTGATTCCCTCTGTGTCCCTTTTCCCCATCTAATCCTCTGGACACCATCAAGTTTCATATCCATCTTCAGCCATTTATATCATGGTGGCCATGCTAGCTATTGTCTTCAGTCTAGACTGTGCCATTTAACCATCTGAACAGAATCCATTAGTTGTGAATCTACATGTTTGAGAGAATAGCCAGGAGAACTTATTTTTGTTCTGGAGAATGCAATTATAATACGTGAATATATAATACATGTGAAAATAGAACTGGGAAAATTGAAGGGACGGGTGGAGTTGAGAGAGATGGGAGAAAAAGATAAAAGGGGTGACGTTGATCAAAATGTATGACACTCAGGGTGAATTGAAGTCCCTTTGTATAACTACTTAAAGATAATAAAAATAAAATTGTAAAAAAAAAGACATTTGAGACTTGAGCTGCAAAGTAACAGGGCCTAGAATGGTAGAGGGCTGGTCAGGCATACTTCTCTTAAGGTCTCTATAGGCCTCTCTGTGTGGACTAAGCATGGCTGGCTTCAGAATAGCTCTATTTCTCATGAATTTGGTCAGATTTGAAGAGAAAGTTACCAGAGGTCTGATAACAACTACAGCTATGTTTTTTGGACTCAGTCTCTGTCAACTCAGAACATAGTTTCCACCACATTTTTATTGGTCAAGACAATTATAGTGGCCAGTCCAGAGTTTCAAACAAAAGAAAATCAGGCTTCAGCTCTTATCGGGAGAAATAGAGAATTTGTGGCTCTCTTTAACCTATGCTTTCTTGAGAAACAGAACCAATAGTAACCAGTTGACTATACATGAACTTGCATATAAATGAGAGACTTGCTCCTATGGATGTGAGGGCTGGGAGGTCCCATGATCTGTAGACTGATGACCCAGGAAAGCTGACACTATACTTCAGTCTGACTCAGAAAGCCTGAGAACAAGGGGGGCTAATGGTGGAAATCTCAGTCTGAGGGTAGGAAAGGAGAAGATGTAATATCCCCACTTGAAAGGGGAAATTCCTGAATTATTCATGATTTTACCTTTTGTTCTATTTGGGCAGGTCTTCAATCCATTGAGCTCCATTGCAGAGAAAACCTACTTCCTTAAGTCCCCTCAAATATGGTACATCAGGAAACACCTCATAGACACACAGAGAAATCATGTCCGAACAGCAATCCAGTCAATTGGTGGCCCAGTCAAATCAACATATACAGCAAATAGTATCATATACTACTTTTGACTCTGCTGTTTACCACCTACTCTTTTTGACCATTTCTCCTTTCTGTCATCTTTTTATTTCAGTGTGCCTTCTGACTGAGGCCTCAGACATTTTTTAAAAATAATTTTTTTATTGAGATTGATTACATAAATTTCACCAATTTCACAGTTTCGTGGGATTGTGATACTTAAAGTCACAAACACACTTTAACCTTCATAAAGCAAATTGTCATTATCAGGGTCTATGAAGTTTGTGAATTCTATAAACTTTACATACAACTATTTCTTCCAAATCAGGTGATATGTACATTTCTTTCCTTTTGCTGAGTGTAAATTGTTCCTTCTTTCCCTCTTATTCCCTCCCTTCCATCTCTGCCCTTGAGTTGCTTTAGTTCATTTTCATCAATGTTCAGTGCAGCTGATGGCCCCTCTGTTGTATTTTTTCCCATTTCCCTCTGATTCTGTGCCCTCCTCCTAACTTCCCTCAGATGTGCACATGTAGACTGCAGACTTTTGATTATTATTTTCTTTTTCTCCTAGGTGTGTATCATTCCCACACAGTCTGCACTTCCTAGTCCAGCATGTCATCTTCTTAAAGAATTTCTTCATTTAACTTCCCGTCATAGATTGTGAACAAAATCTATGTTGGGACAATCCAAACTCTAATCAAGGCCATTCCTTTGTAGACCATGGAGAGCACTATTCACATGGTCTAAGGGATCTGAGATGCCTCCCCAAACCAACATGTTCTAGATCCATTCTCTGTGGCTGCAATGCCAGGCTTCTCTACTCTTCTGGTACAACCCTTGTTCCATCCCATGACTTCCTTCTTTCATTCTCAGATGGTGCTCTTGTTTTCTACTTTACAGAAAACCCAAGGCTCTATCAACTTCTTAACTCAGCTTTTGAAAGAGTAATTTGTCTGAAACAGAACCCATTAGTACTTGGCTCTGACTTTCGCTCAGTGGCAGTGAAGGAGGTGATACCCCATCTTGCCTTGGGCTAAACTCTGCTTTAGTGCTCTGCTCCAATTCATGAACTTCATTCCTCTGCTAAATCCTTACTTTTCCTGTATCTGCAGCGCCTTGCTTTTTAAGGCTTTCCTTTGATCATTTAGCACTATGAACAACAACAATCGATAATGTTTGAATATTCTCAATAGGTCAGGCCTGTCTAGGCACCTGCCATCTTGGATTTATTGAATATTAACAATAACCCTCTGTAGTTGGTCTGTTTATTTCGTCTGTCATAGCTGAGCAAAATAAGATGGTGAGAAGTCCCTGGTGCATGATTTTCTCCCCATGAGTCTGGCCACTCCTCATTTATTCTTAGCATTTCTTGTCTTACTGCCTCACTCTTCTCTTCATAGTTCTTGTTTCTAGGCTTGTGTCTAAATCTTTTTACCCCTCTGTGTGTCCCTAGGTGGGACACTAAGGTTCTCAAGTGCAAGCTCTATGCTGATGACACTTCTTTTTTTCTTTTTTCTTTTTTTTTGGGGTCCGGTCATGGGGCCTAAACTCTGGGTGATGTCCCTCAGCTCTTCAGCTCAAGGCTAGCATTCTACCACTGGAGCCACTGCGCCACTTCCGGCTTTTTTTTTTGCTTATGTGGTGCTGAGGAATCGAACCCAGGGCCTCAGGCATGCAAGGCACGGGCTCTACCACTGAGCCATCTTCCCAGCCCCTGCTGATGACACTTCTATGTACTCTTCTGGCTCTGATCCCTGCTGTAGACTCCTGCCCCACTCATGAAAGAACTGGCTGGAGATTCAGTTGCCTAATAACCATAGTCACCCTGTTGGTGGGATTTGGAGGGAGCCAAAGAAAAGCTAGAGAAGGTGAAGAGTGTAATTGTGCGACAAAATCCTTTGGAAGCTGGAGAGAACCAAGGTCAGTGCTGAATATTGATTGGAAAGACAAAGTCTTAGGTTAATTGTATCATCTGTCAGGTGGTCTGTGCAGGAGTATATACTGTACTACATGTTATTAAGTGACACAATTGACATGCCCCCCCACCCTGGGAACCTCAAATAAAATCTATACAAGTCCATCCTAGTCACTTTCTCTTTGCAAACTTGTTGTTCTTTTTTGTCTCTGAGTCATTGAGTGGCTCCATAGTCCACCTGGTCATCCAAACAAAATCATGGTTCATGTGTTCTTTTGCTTCCCAATTAAAATGATTCCCTAAATCCTGTGGATGGCATTTTCCAATTAGATGTTGAGGTAACTCAGGCCTCTCCCATCATTTGCACTACATTAAGTCAGGCCACGACCCTAGTTATGACCTGTGGCTTGTGTGGACTCTTTCAAGAGCCTCTTGATTCATTTCACAGCTGCTATCTGACTGTCTTAAGAGTGCCCTCTCTAGAATGCAAATATGATCACATTACTCCTCTTCTCTCTTTTAGAAATCCTTCAACAATTTCTATGGCTCACTGGATGAAATCCAATAATAACAAAGCTTGTAAAGCTCTTCATTATCTAGCTCCTGACCTCTCCCTCCCGCTCCATACTTTCCGAACCTGTCCATGGATCCTAAGCCAGAATTAAATAGAGCACCTTGCTGGTCCCCAGCACTCAGACTCACCTGCTTTCCCTTTGTCCTGGTGTCCCTCTGGCTAACTCCCCACTGGGCCTACATCCCTACTCTACATCAGTTCCTCCCACAAGCATCTGATCTGTCCATCAGGATTAGGTTCCTTCTCAGTGCACCAAAGTTCCCTGAACTGTAGGAGAAAGATATTATTCTCAGCAGGACTGTAAGTTCCTAGAAGGCAGGCTGTAATATTTATTTGTGTAAGCCCATGATAGAGCACAAAGTCTTCTATTTTATACAGGGCAGAGAAAAGTTTATCAGATGATGAAGCCTTCTTGAGGAGTCATGATTCTTTAAAACTCTGCTCAGGCATCTATCCACTAGGCAGGACTTCTGTTCTCAAGGAAATATAATTACTATCTTTTCTATGATACTTCCAAACACAGTGTTTATCTCACTTATACTATTATTACTAATAACAATAGCAATAGCAACTGAATGTTTACACATGCAAATATATATGTAACTATATAAATAGGTAAAGTAGCTGCTAATTGTTACTACTGAGTAAGATTTCATCTCTTCCCATCTTTTCAACACCTACTGCCATGGCTTTAAGTGTAATATGCCCTCACCCAAACACATATTGAAGCTTATTTTCTCAATATTGTGATACTGAAAGGTGATAGATTTCTAACAGGTGGGAACTCATGGCTGGTAATTGGAACATGGGGCACTTCCAAGGGAGGGAATAACACTAGGTTAGTTCTCATGATAGTGAGTTGTATTGAAGTGAAGTTATCCCTTGTACTTGGTCCCTTCTGACTGTGGTTGCTTCTCTTCCTGCTTCTCCATATGTTCTGGTATCGCTAGGGTACCCTTACTAGAATGCTAGAGCTATGTAGTTTAGATTTTCTAGCCATTGCAGTCAGAAGTCAAATAAATCTCTTTACTTCATCAATTACCTAGCCTCAGGTATTTTGTTATAGCAACACAGACTAGACTAAAACATCTATGAAGTAGGAACCATAATGATTTGTGTTTTATGTAACCAAATGTTTTAAGATATTTCTGCTAGATACAAGGGGATATGGTATGAACAAAAAAAGGCAAAATCTGTGCCTCTTGACGTTGGTAGTCTAGTAGGAGGGATTGATATTGAATGAATACTTTCAGAAATAATAATAAAACCTTTCTCAATAGCTTGTCAGACAATTTTCCAAGTGTTTCATATATATATAATTTTATTTAATCCTTAAAAATATAAGGACTATAGAAATGATAGTATTCTCTTCCTATAGGAGAATATGACACAGTTTGGCAGTGATTGGAAGCTTACCCCACATCCCAGCCAATAAAGGGATGATGGGACTTGACCCTTTTGGTTGTGTAGCATTTCTTGGGCTTTTGAGGTAGGGCATGCTCTCAGGACATCACAAGGGCCAGGCTAACCAGGGTGAAGGAGGAAGGAAAGCCTCCCAAAGGTCAAGACATTTCATGACTCCCCTTCTGGCTACTGCCATTGCCCTTTCAGTATCTAAAAACAGTGACTGCCTTGGGAAGCTGAATATGGGCATGGCCACAGAGCCTTGAGAAAAGCTTACCACCTCACTAGCTTAGAACCTGCTTTGTCTGTGAGCTATAATAGCCCCAGCAATTTTCTATCAAAGTAAAACCTGGGTTTTTGCCATTATGTGCCAGCAGGTGTCACAATTTACCCAAGATGAGTGCGATGGTTCCTTAATCCCAGGAATCTGCCTAAAGGACCAACTCTGTCATCTCATCTTCCATTGCTATTCTTCTCACCTATGTGGAACTGAGGTGGTGGACAGTCTTTCAAAGCATTGGCTGTATTAATCTTTTTCTTGGCCTTTTGGAACATTGGGAACCACCATGTGCGTTGTATTTTCTCTATTGCTGAGAGGGAGGCATCTTCTCACCATTGGTATCCCATAGGTAGCCTTTGCCTTCCAGAGTTCTAGTTTCATGACTACCAGGGCCACACTAAGCCCCAGTACTGTTCTCCCTCTGCCCCGTAGAAGTATGTTTCTTATTATTGATTATAAAACTCCCTGCCTTGCCTTTCCCAGGGCCTCTAGATTAGTCTGTGTTCCACACAATCTCTTTCCCTTCCTGCCAGTGGTTCATCACATCAGGGAGGGTATTTCAGGAGGCAATATAGCTGGGAACTGAGGATGGGGAACCTTCACACAGGCTGAAGGAATGAGGTGGAAGGGAAGGAGGCAAGGCTGCGAATGGAGAATAGAATAAGCCTTACTCTGTGTGTTGGATAGCTGATTGGCTGGCCTGTCATTCCCTGTCAATCTGACTTGAGAATGGGAGGGAAGGAAGGAGGGAGGGAAGAAAGGAAAGAAAGATTTCAAGGTCACATTCTGTTCTGAATGCAAATGATATAGTGTTCATATTAAGATCAGGACTTCATATACTTTGAGAAGACACATAAGAGAAAGAGGAGGACAGAACTAACATTTGTCCAATACTAGTAAATCCTGTCCTCTTCCTTTTCTTCCTCTTCTTCCTTCTCTTCCTCTTATCTGTCTTTGCTGGTAATAGGGCTTGAACTCAGGGGGCTCTCTATCACTAGAGCCACTGCTCCACTTCCAGCCGTTTGGTGATTAAATTGGAAAATAGAGTCTCACAGACTTTCCTGCCTGGGGTGGCTTTGAACTGTGATTACAGGCATGAGCCATTGGTGCCCAGCTCAGAATTCACCCAGAACTGGACCATCTGACTCTACTTTGCCTTAAAAGGGAGGTTCTGTTCTTCCAACCTCCCCTGTAGAAGGGGTCAATGGATAACAAAATTGATAATAAACATCTGCCATAGCCATTTGAATTGCATTTTCTCCTCAAAATGGACAGATGCTAATGCCATTTCAATATTATAGATGAGACTATTCATTTCCTTAGGAAAATAAATCGAATGGTAAAACAGCTAGTTTCTGAGAGAGTCAAAATCTAAATCTTAAGTCATTTGTGATCCCAAAGTACCTGTCCTTCATGTGGGCCCTGTTTTTGGCCACATTCATGTGTCCAAAACTATCTGTGAAGAATCCTGTCTGCAGCCCAGAGAGCAAACTTCTGAAAATCCTGGGTTTCCTGTGGTGTCCTGGGCTGGAGGAGGACAGAGAAAGCACACAGGAGCCAAGACAGAAAATTAAGCCCTTCCTTTGTTCTAAATAGTCCCTAAATAGGGTTGGACATGCAGCTCAGAGAGGGTGTCTTTTAATCGGTAGAGAATAAAAGGATCTGGAAGTGTGAGCTGTTGGGCTGTTGGAATTGCTCTGTGAAGAATGCCACAGGTCACAGGCTCTCTGCTGTCTCGCAAATGGGAGGCTGACAGGCCCCGATTCATGAAGGAGCAAATATGGGAAATAAAAGGCTTAGTTAAGTTTGATTGAATGGCATTTCCCATGGAGCCGGAAATGACAAGTAGCTATTTTCTATCAATCACACCTCAGGTAACTATTTTAAAGGCAAATTGTCCCTTTTGACGATAAAAGCGGAATGGAGGGTAGGGAGGAAGAAAGAACATTTCTGGGTGGAGGCTTGTGCTCTTAGTCTAACTGCATGGGGCTATTTGGAAGACTTCAGAATGGAAATGCCAGGGCCTCAGATGGAAGGAGGCAGAGAAAGGTGACTGTAAGTTAGCTGAAATTCTTAGCATGGGGGTCGAGGTTGTTGGAGACTCGCAGCCTCTTCTAAACAGGGAAAATAGCTCTTGGTCTTCTAGGTACACAGGGGTAATATCTTTCTCCTGCTGAGGCCACCCCTCATCTGCTCAGTCTTTCATATACGTTAGATATTAGAGGAATGAATTCCATTTCCCTTAGGCTTGGAAGATGGCAGATCTCAGGGATATGTTTGTCCTCTCTGTATAGCATTGGTCCAGTGTTGGGCTTTCTGTTTCAGTTTCATTTCAACTGTTCTGTTAGATGAGGTATTTCTTTGAGCTTCTGGAGCCCTTCTGTGGGCCAAACAAATGGTAGGAAAAGTAAATTACAGAGAAAAGACATTAAAGCAAATGTAAGTTAGAGAAGCTGTTTTGAGGGACTCCCAGGAAACTTGTTTTAGCTTTGCATACATGGCCTTTTCTAGTCTGGCTCTAGACACATAATTTGCCTTCTTACAAGTGATCTTTCACTCAAATAGCTCTATCTGTGCCCTCAGAGTCTTGATATAGTTTGCATGCTCACCCTATTTTTTTCTTGGTATAGACCATGGATACCCCATGGTCTCACTGGACATTTTGTAAAAATTGTACTTATGTTATAAGATAAATCATCCTAGGAGACACATTTTAAAATATAGAATATTGAAGTCTTTTTATACAGTTAACAGGCTGCAAGCTGCCAGTTGTTACAAAGGCCGGCAGCACGCAAATACACATAACACAGCTAGGAAACATGCTAAAGAGGAAAGAAATAACAAAAACAATACCAACAACCCAATTCAGATCCAAATGGAGAGCTGAATTGGGACTCCATGATGACTGGAGATGAGCCAGGAGATAGGACACAGGTCATGAACATGGAGACAACATGGCATGGAGTGCGGTGGCTAGGCTGGTCCGCGCTAAATAGGTCGGCATAGGGGGCAGATCCTCAGGAAATTCCCGGCCAGGCACTGGACTGACAGATTCAGTAACCTATCAGCTAAGTGCTTGCCTCTGCCTCCTGGGGTCCCAGCACATCCATTACCTGGGAGGCAGGTGATGGGGCAGTTTCCTTCCCCCAGCATGAAGACAAGATGCCAGACCCTGCCATCCACCATGTGATCAATATGGCGCCTGACAGACCTGGCCTCTTTACTTTACCTATAAGATTATCTTGGGGCTTGTTGAAGCTCCCTTTCCTGGACTCTGACCCCAAGGGCTCATGGATTGAAAGAAACTTTAGTAGACAGAGCCTAGATGGAGGACGTAGGTTATGGAGGGAAGGTGTATTTGAAGATCATATTAGGACCCTGGTTTCCTCCTCTCTTCTTCCTCTTCTTCTTCTCTCCTTTCCCCTCATTTCCTTTTTTCTTGCTCTTCCTTCCCTCCCTTCCTTCTCTCTTTCCCTCCCTCCTGATATCCTTTGTTAATATTACTTTTGCTTTCTTTTTTAATTTTTTGGAGGGGGGTATCTGAGACTTTTACTCACTGTCTAACACTACACTCAATCAACTGAGTCACACCTCTAACCCCAAGGGTTGGTTATTTCTTCCCTCCCTCCCTCCCTCCCTCCTTCCCTTCCTCTTTTCCTTCCTCCCTTCCTCTTTTCCTTCCTCCCTTCCTACCTTCCTTCCTTCCTTCCTTCCTTCCTTCCTTCCTTCCTTCCTTCCTTCCTTCCTTCCTTCCTTCCTTCTTTCCCCCTCCTCCTCCTCCTCCTCCTCCTCTTCCGCCTCCTCCTCCCAGCCCAGTCACCAGCATGTAGGCAGCTTTGATCTACCTGCCCTCTGACATGAAGTTCTGTCTTGCCACAGCCACAGATCATGGACTGAGACTATTTGCCAAAATAATCTTTTCTCCTTTTAAGTTGTTTATGTCAGATGTTTTGTCACAATGATGCAAAACTCATAGCTTGACTTGGTGTGCCTACAGTAAGATATCTAGGAATGTATGATTTAAGCAGAACCCAGGAGATTTTGACATGGCTGACATTAGAGCCCCATAACACCACCATAGGATATGGGAATCACCTTGCCATAGAAAAATTTCTGTGATAGAGTAATTGTTTTAACTAGTCCGTATTCCCTGCAATTACAGTGCTTTTGCTTGGCACAGATCATAGCTCTGGAGCTAAGCACAAAGCCTGGCACAAAGAAGGCCCTCATACAACTCTCAAGAGTCAAGGAGGGAAGGCATCCCTTTACTGACCTTTCATAGACAGACACTGGAGGCCCTTGGACATACAGTAGCTCTCAGATGTAGGCGTAGAGGAAGACTTAGATTCCAGATGCAATGAGTTTGTAGAAAAGAGGAGAAGAAGGAAGGATATAAGCATTTTGTGTTTTATCTTTTTATGCTCTGTTCTGTTTGTTTAGATTTTATCCTTGGCTAGTTTGACCCGCATTGCTTTGAGTATACAGTAGATATATTTGGAGAATCTCTAAGGTCATACTTGAAAAAAAATGTCCTCAAGTTCTATTGCCACCTCAGACTCCAGAAAGGATAGAATAATGTTTGTATGAAATAACTTCAACTCTCAGTCATAATGCAACCTGAAATGTATATCAAGTTTTCTTTCCAAAATTAGGACCAAGAGATCCAGATGTTGTTGGATGTAAAAGGGTAGGGGAGTTGGGAGATTATGTTGCAACTACAGTGAACATCATGGCAACACAAAGCTCCATTCAAATTGATTTTATGAGTTTCTTGGAAGGAAGAGTCTTGCAGAGAAAGTGTGTGTGTGTGTGTGTGTGTGTGTGTGTGTGTGTGTGTGTGTGTGTGTGTGTGTGTGTATGAGAGAGACAGAGACAGAGAGACAGAGACAGAGAGACAGAGAGAGATAGAGGCTAGTATTTTTATAGCTGAGACAAGAAACCATGGCATAATCCAGCTGGCTGGACAGAGGGCCAGCAGATCAAAGCTTTTCTAGGTCTTAGCTGACTCAACTGTATTTCCTACTATTGCATTCTATAAAGTACTCTCAATTCCTTGTAATCAGAACTGTTTGTCTTAAGCTAGCTTGACTCTGTTTCTTGAAACCTGAGACAGTGAGCAAATGAAAGGGCCTTTCCCTAAAGCCTTAGAATAAACAAGCCTATCTGCCTCCCCAATTTTCTTTGCCTGGGTTCCCCAGTATGCTGACATCTTGTATCTCTTTCATAAATCTTGACTTCTTTTCTATAAATTTCTGGACAAAAGTTGTTCTCTTTCCCGTTGCTGGTTTCATGTGTTGTTAAAATCTAGTGTTGCTCTTCAGTGAGGACATACTAAGCTTCAAGTTCAGAATAAAAAGATTCAAGTTTATTTGCATTTCTAGCCTTACAGTGCCTTGGAATAGGTTTTCCACTTGTCTCAAGCAAAACTCAATAAATGAGACAGTCCTCACACATCTTCAAGGGGCAGAACCCAGAGAAATGTGGGTTCTGAAGGCCACTCTTCTACTGTAAAAACTGTTCTGAAAGCAAAAGCACGTAAGATATAGGTCAAATTGAATCCATAAAAGTTGGCTGGAAATCTGAGCTGACTTGGCCAAAAGATACATTGATGTTTGCCAGCACTATCAACCAATCTGTCAATACATCAGACAATCCATTAAATTGGTACAACTTCACTGGCTGACAGAGAACATCAATAAAATACTGTGACTAGAAGCACGAGGTGCAAAGAGGGAGATTATAGGTTTAGAATCAGACACATCACCTTGAAGTCTGCTCCATTGCTTCTTTCTGTGTGTGTTAGAGCAAATTTATGTCACTCTTTTGGGCCTCTGTTCCCTTGCTTATAAATATAGCAAGATGAATAGCAGGTAGCTTGGACTGTCTATAGCAGAGAATTTATATAGCAAAGAGAACATATAAATGCCTCATATGTCTCTTCCCATCCCTCATTTCCTCATAATTAATATCTAAGGCTGAATAAAAGAGCTGAGGTGAGTCTCTCATATGATCTCATTAGAATTTATTTTTCCAAATAACTGCCAACCAACAGTCTATTTAACACTCAGGTCAGGTGTGGCATGGTGATATGTAGCTGTATTACCACAGCAAGTTAATATCTGCTAGCCTGAAGTTAGACCATCTGTGTTCTATGGATGCCCTTGGGGCTCTACTTTTTCTCATGCTAATGGCAAAAGAAGGATTCATCCCTGCTTGCAGGTTGTTGTGAAGTCTGTAGGAGAAAATCAGCAAGAAAGAGTAGGCAGTTGTATGTATTCACATAAGAAGGCTGCAGATGCTCCATTTGTTAGGAAATGGAAAGACTTGGAAAAAATTATATTAAGTGAAGTAAGCCAGGCCCAAAGAAACTTAGATCCCATGGTTTCCCTTATTTGCAGTAACTAGTATATGTCTGAGACAAGCAGAAAAGATCAGATAAGTTGATGTTAGGCTAAGTGAACCCCAAGATAAGGACTCAAATGGTTTTTCTTTCTTGCTATTGCTTCTAACTTATTTATTTTAGGTGATTGTTTTGTTGCTTTGTATGTTCCTCCCCCACAGTATAACCCTTGTTTTCACCGTATTTGCTGTTAGTATAATTTGAGGAAGGGAAGGGAAAAAACAAATTGTTAAAATAGGGATACAGGTGGACCATTGCAACAATGAAATGTACAAGATGCTATGTTGAAAAACGAACTTTGGTAGGGATGGGGGGGGGCGGGGAGATGGGAGGGCAAGGATGGTAAGGGGAAACAAAGGAGGAGGCAACAATGCTTGATAAGAAATGTACTCATTACCTTGCTCATGTAATTGTAATCCCTCTGTATGGTATTTTCACAATTAAAAGCCCTATTAGGGCTGGGAAGGTGCTTGCCTTGCATGCTTGAGGCCCAGGTTCAATTCCTCAGCACCACATAAGCGAAAAGAAAAAAGCCGGAAGTGGCGCTGTGGCTCAGGTGGTAGACCATTAGCCTTGAGCTGAAGAGCTGAGGGACAGCGCCCAGGCCCAGAGTTCAGGCCTACTACTGGACCCCCCCCCCCAAAAAAAAAACAACCCTATTAATAATAAAAAAAAGAAGGCTGCAGGTGGAAATGAATGCATTTACCCTGAAGCCATGTGAGCTTCTTGGTGGAAGTCAGAGCCTGGATCTGAAAAGCTATCAGCAGTGTGTGCTCTAATAATCAGGTGAAGGTGGAGATGCATCAGCAACTGAATGAGTTGTGCTAACTTTGATAATGATTTGCAACTTGCTGGTCAGGTGTTGGTAGACAACCATGTAGTCATCGTCTAGGAGTTCATTGGAAATGAAAGATTTGAACCTCTACCTGGGACCTGCAGACTGAAAGTGGGCATTATGAAAGATTCACAGATACCTGTAAATTTAAGAAGCATTACCACCGAGTAGAGCCTAGGAGACTAGTTTGAGGCTGGATTCTAATTATAACAGTGGTGCAAATCTTAATCCTAAGAAGTCCCACCCATCAGTTGGCGAGGATGAACCCCAATCCCCTCACCCCCCACCACTTAGTTCTCTCTTGGACAAGGCAGTCCCCCTCCAGCTGCTCTTTATTTCTACAAATGAGCCAGGTTTCAGATGAACTATAATAGGTTTGTTTCATTAGTATATTGATAGTAATTGGCTCATCAGAACTGAGAACATGGAAGAGTGGCAGGGGAGAAAGAAAAATCTTCTGGGAGGAATTCTCTCCATAGTTCTCCTTACAAAAGCTCTATTAGGAGTTTTATTTCCATTACTTTCCAGATCAGAAACATGCTGGTATGAGTGGTTAAGTAGTTTGCTAATTCCATGTGAAGGGTGGAGGTGGAATTTTGCTGAAGGCTTGTTTTTTTTTTTTTTTATTGTCAAGGTGATGTACAGAGGGGTTTCAGCTACATAAGTAAGGTAATAAGTACATTTCTTTTCAAACTTGTTATCCCTTCCCTCATTTACTTTCCTTCCCTCCAATTCCCCCACCCAAGTTGTACAAATCATTTCCAACATATGGTCTTGTGAATAGTGCTGTTGCATTGGTTCCCACCTTGTCCTTTCTCACCATTCTGTTGCTCCCCTTCTCTTCCCTAATTCAAACAAATGTATATATACAATACCAGGGCACCCAAATCAAATATGGTGACAACAGGGGATATATCATAGGGAGAAGAACACAAAAAAGAAACAAGAAATCACATAGTACATTAAAAACAACAGCAATAAAGAAAAACCTCTTGTGTTCATGTCTTGAAGTTCATTTCGCTTAGCATCATCTTATATAGTCATATATACATAGGTATTGATCTAGTCTGCTCATCTGCTAATTATACTAATTATTGCAAATAAGGGAAACCATGGAACCTATGTTTCTTTGGGTCTGGCTTACTTCACTTAATATGATTTTTTTCCAAGTCTTTCCATTTCCTTCTAAATGGGGGTGGTGTCATTCTTTCTGATGGAAGCATAGAATACACACACACACACACACACACACACACACACACACACACACACACATGGCATTTTCTTGATCCATTCATCTACTGAAGGGCATCTAACTTTAAACAGTCCATCACACTATTTAATATGAAAACCTACTGCTGTTTATAAATTAATGCAAAACATAGAAGCATAAACAAACATTTTGTGGTGCCGATAAATTCTTTGCATCAGAATTCCAGACAAGGCACCATGTTTCACCTCTGCTGTTTCGCCTCTTGATGGCAAGGGTGGTTTTATGGGTAGGGCTTGACTTATGTATGACTGGTAGTTGGTATTGGCCATCACCTTTGATCTGAGCTGGCTCTGTTACCCAGAATACCTAATATGGCCTCTCCATGAAAAAGGGACTTTCCAACAGCATAGAAACTCCAAAGAAGTTAGATTTCTTCCTGTCTCAGAGCCCCAAATGAATGTCTCTATGGAGATATAGGATCTGTATCATCTTTCTTCCTGTGCCTTAAAAATCTTACAGCCTTTGATCTACCAGATACTGTAGAGGTTAGAGGTAGGTCACAAACATGCTCAGATTCAGAGGGATGGCTGATAAAACCCTTATACACATTTTCTTTAATTACCCTGTAGTTTGTTAGAATACTTGGGAGGTATACTTTGAAGAGAGTGGGTTAGTCATTTGGCTCATTTTCCCCCTAGAAATTATTGTTTTTAGTAGTATTGTTTTTAATAGTAAAGTAACAAATAGGACCTTGGGCCACGCCATGTTTGAGGCTACAACTGACTGATATCTTCCAGTTATCTTTGGCTTTGCCAAAGGAAAAAGAGTTCCCAAGCACTTGTCTTCATCAACAAAAGCTAGAAATTCCAGTTAATGCTGTTAATGGTGACTGACAAGATCAAGACGAGTCTATGTGTCATATGGAAGAGAGCTTAATATGTGAAACTCAATTGATGATACCTGGCAGAGATGCTGAAAAGTATCCCTATGCTCCTATTACCTTCAGGATTCTTTTGCTTTTGGTACTTTTCTGACCAGATTTAAGTTGACAAAGCTGTTTTCCAAGGCAGTGGTGCTTCTTAGTCAATTAGACTCAGGTGTCAGGGAACAAGTAAAAGAGATTACTTGAGAAGGACCAGGGAATGTGAGGAAAGAAAACTCTAGATAGAGATACTTCCTAGACCTGTGGTTCGCTCTAGGACACCTGTTAGAAACAAAACTTTCTTAGCTCCATTCTCGTGCTTTCCAGCAATACTCCAAAAGCTTAGATCTGAAAATTGTCCCCTCTTGGATGATTTATAAATTTATTAGGAAGTATCTCATCTAACATAGCACTTGATGCCAAGAAGGTTTCTGGTATCAGTCTCAGATGACCATACATATTTTGTTAATAGGATCAAATAAGGGAAGAGCACAGCTGAACTGGTAATAACAGCAGTAAATGGCATGGTCATAAAATGATCTATACAGCTATAGCTAATGCTCAGTCTCAGAATCTGCTGCCCTGCTTACTCCCTCTGCAAAGCATCAAGCTAAAGCCAAACCATGAACAGAATCATGCTTTTTCCTTTGTAGGGCTTTCCAGCATCTGATGCTACAACATGCCAGGAATGGATTGTCAGCAGCCATCTGAAGAAGGTGGAGGAAAGAAGCATGCATGCATTCCTTCCTTCTACATGATAAGGCTCAACAATCAGACAAAAGGAGAACAGCACATGTCCAGGATGTGTTGGGAGTTTACAGGTCCCAAAGCAAGGCAGAAAGATCAAGCTGGGGACAAAAATGACACATAAATGTAGGATTCAAAGAAAAATCTTCAAAGAAACAACTGCCCAATAAATAAGTGGGCTAAAGACTTAAAGAGAAACTTCTCTGAAGAGGAAATAAGAATGGCCAATAGACACATGAAGAAATGCTCAACCTCCCTAGCCATAAAAGAAATACAAATCAAAACAATATTGAGATTCCACCTCACCCCAGTAGAAATGGCTATAATCAAGAACTCTAATAACAACAGATGCTGGAAGGGATGTGGACAAAAGGGAACCTTACTGCATTGTTGGTGGGAGTGTAAACTTGTTCCACCACTTTGGAAAGCAGTATGGAGGTTCCTCAAAAGACTGCACATAGAGCTCCCCTATGACCCAGCAATCCCACTTTTGGGCATTTATCCAAATGATCACAAACAAGACCATACTAAAGCTACCAGCACAACTATGTTCATTGCAGCATTATTTACCATAGATAAGATGTGGAACCAACCCAAATGCCCCTCAGTAGATGAATGGATCAAGAAAATGTGGTATATGTACATAATGGAATTCTATGCCTCCATCAGAAAGAATGACATTGCCCCATTTGTTAGGAAATGGAAAGACTTGGAAAAAATTATATTAAGTGAAGTAAGCCAGGCCCAAAGAAACATAGGCCCCATGTTTTCCCTTATTTGCAATAACTAGTATATATCTGAGACAAGCAGAAAAGGTCAGATAAGTTGAGGTTAGGCGAAATGAACCCCAAGATAAGTATTCAAATGTTTTTTCTTTTCTTTTCTCTCTCTCTCTCTCTCTCTCTCTTTTTTATTGTGAGAATACCGTGCAGAGGAGTTACAATTACATGGGCAAGATAACAAATACATTTCTTATCAAGCCTTGTTGCCACCTTTTTGTTTCCCCTTCCCATCCCTTCCCATACTCCCCCTACTTTCCCCCACCGGATTCTCCCCACCCCCACTAAAGTTGTAAATATGCTAGAAACAATTGCATGAAAGAAAAAAAACATTTGCAATACTAGTTATTGCAAATAAGGGAGACCATGGAATGTTTTTTCTTTCATGAGATTGTTTCTAACATATTTATGATTTCTTTGTTGCTTTGTATGTCCCTCCCCCACGATATAACCCCTGCTTTCACTGTATTTGATGTTGGCATAATTTGTGGAGGGGAAGGGAAAAAATAAATCGTTTAAATAGGGATACAGGTGGACCCATTGCAACAAGATGTACAAGTCGTTATGTTGAAAAGCAAACTTTACAACATTGGCAGTAGGGGGGAGGAGGAAGGGGAAAAAAGGGGGATGGGGCAGGGGCGATGGGAAGGGATAGGAAGGGGAAACAAAGGAGGAGGCAACAATGCTTGGTAAGAAATGTACTCATTATCTTGCCCATGTAATTATAACCCCTCTGTA